TGAGAGGTTTGATGGAAGGAAGTCATACATGACATGTTCAGTCTTCACAGTGGTAACAACACCTCTGACTTCAGCTCTCGTTAGACACTTAACAGAAACACAAGAAACAACGCAAAAACTTGTCACTCTGGTAGAATATGAGAAGTTTGGCAGGAAAATCTTTGAAGTCCCAAAATTAATAAGTTTGATATTTGGACATCTGGGTTTATTTACAAAGTTTATTTACAAAGTTTATTTACAAAGTTTATTTACAAAGTGCTGTTGTTTCCTGGGCCCGTCACACAGTCTTGATACAAAGACCACTACACTCAACGTACGTAGCCAAGCTGAGAGTTGTTTGAAGCAGATGTGACTAACTTTTAACATAGGTCATTAGTCGACCAGAAGGAGTATATACCTCCACCTTAATACATCAAGCTAAGCCTCACTAAAAACCTTCATCAGTCGTAGCAGAAGTTTCAACAAGAGATGTGATAATTTACGCATTTTAACTAAAAAATAATGTCAGAAAATGCTTCAGATCAATTTGAATCGTTTAAATATGCAATAAAATAAAATTTGAACATATTTTTCTTAATTTATTAATTTGAACAAAGAAGGTGCAGGATTTGCCTACACGAAGGAGACGTTCCGGAAAGTTAGTGACGCCAAACTGAAAAAAACTCTTCACCGGACCTTAGATTCGGAAGTTACTAAATGATCTTGATTTTGAGCAAGTCTCCGAGATGTTGAGCTGAGAGTAAGCATGAGCAGCAGACAAGAACACTTACTCAGGTTTCATGGTCAATCATCACCGTAATTATTACAGAAATATTTTAGAAGATATAATGACAGCAAGCCATCTACTGGAATGTCAGATGTTCCATAAGATTCACTATCTCTATCCTCCACCTTGGCTTTTCCCCAACAAAACCTCGGTGATGTTACTGATGAACGATTTTACCAAGATATACCAATCATAGAGAAGAGATATTAGGGAAAGATAATGATGAGTACAATACCCAACTACTGCTAGACACTGCTGCTGGAGAGTCACGTTCTACACAAGAAACAAAAAAATTGAAAATTGTGATGTAAATATGTTTGTATGACTGTATAGATATTTCTTATAGTTTTCTCATGCAGATTTATATAGATATACGTTAGGATAGATCAGTTTTTATTATTCCTTGAACGACACTTAGTATGCATACATAATATAAGATCTATGGTTGTAAGGTAACATATATTTACTTGGTTTTTCAAACTTAAATAGCCAAAATTTTGATTATAAGATTTCAAAATAAAATCAAATTTCTAATGTAGCAGAGATTGAACAAGTTCAGATTCGTGATCAGAGGCTCAAGCTTAACTTCAAACAACTAATTTGGTCTCTGAACTGGATTAAAAAAAAAAGTTCAGATTTGTTGTGTAGTCTGTAATTATTGTTAATAACTCTACGGGAATGACTTGCCATGTTTAACTTACTCAAGCCAACATTTTGTAATGATCGGAGATAGGATGGAAGCTACCAGTCTGTAAATATTCTGAAGTAGGATAAGAATCCTTAGCCCGTGAACTGAAATATTCTCTCTTCTGTGTGCCATGTGACGGTGCAGATCAGAGTGCCAGAGGAGAGAATACTGATGCAGGCTGCCACCACTCCTGACACCGTCTCTGCCCACACCACAGGTAAGCATTACCACAGGTGTAATTTATATATATATATATATATATATATATATATATATATATATATATATATATATATATATATATATATATATATATATATATATAGAAAGAGAGAGAGAGAGAGAGAGAGAGCGATCGCAGTCAGCAGGACTCGATACTGTTACTGAGACGGGCAAGATTCCCAGACAGCACTCTTATCCACTCAGCCACAAATGCCTCAAAAGCTTAGCAGCCTGGTTCACAAGCCATGTTTCTTTATCGCTTGTGAGGTCAGAACATACAAGAGGAGACTGAAATAGTTTGAATCCATGCTTGAGGCTCACTGACGTGCCCTGGGCTGGGAAAGAAACATGACTTGTGAAAGAGGCTGCCCAGCTTTTGAGGCATTTGTGGCTGAATGGATAAGAGCGCTGCCTGGGAATCTTGCCCGTCTCAGTAGCAGTATCGAATCCTGTTGACTACGATCGTTCTCTGTATATATCCGCTTGTTCATGAGTGATGCACTGATATATATTATATATATATATATTATATATATATATATATATATATATATATATGTGTGTGTGTGTGTGTGTGTGTGTGTGTGTGTGTGTGTGTGTGTGTGTGTGTGTGTGTGTGTGTGTGTGTGTGTGTGTGTGTGTGTGTGTGAGTGTGTATGTGTGTATGTGTGTGTGTGTGTGTGTGTGTGTGTGTGTGTGTGTGTGTGTGTGTGTGTGTGTGTGTGTGTGTGTGTGTGTGTGTGTGTGTGTGTGTGCAAAACGACCGCTGTGAAAGAAGAGAGAAGTTCCAAGCGCTTTCGTGACTACTCACATTATCAAGGAACAATGAAAGTAAAGCATCAAGGGAAGGTATATAAAGGGGTTGCCCACACCTCACTATCAGATCCCACAACAACGAAACACCTGACGCGAGACAGCAGGCCCGCCGGCCGAACTAGACAGGTCCTTCATACAACCCACCAACAAACTATTCTACCCAAGAAATAAGAAATTTAAAAAATTATTATTTGTCAAATATATTATTAAATTCTTCCCAAATTCTATTAATTATAAATGGATCTAATTTATATAAACCAAAGGAAATATTCATATTATTATCAAAACTGCTTTTTATGAAACAAGATTCAATTATATTCCTGTCGACCATGGACTTGCTTGATACTACTTTCTCAACTTTTTGGAAATCAATTGGATGGTTAAAATCTCTTACATGAATAAATAGAGCATTGGAATCTTGTCCAGTTCTAATGCTATATTTGTGTTGTTTTAATCTTAGTTCGAGATTTTTACCAGTTTGACCTTAATAAATTTTATCGCAAATTTTACAAGGAATCTTATAGACACATCCATCAGCATTTTGAGGGGAATTCTTTATCAAAAGTTTTTTTACTGTATCAAGATTTTTGAATACAACTTTAATATTAAAAGTCTTAAGAAGAGAAGGCATATCAACCAAGTTTTCATGGTAAGGGAGAACCAACATATTTTTAGTTGAGTAAGGCTGGTTGTCCCTTTTTGGATTGTAAAAAGTATTTCTAGCAAATTTAAAAGATTTATCAATTACATTTCTTGGGTATTTCAAATCATTCCCTATTTCATAAATTTTGGATATTTCCTCATCTATGAACTCAGGACTACAAATTCGTAAAGCTCTCAAAAACATTGATGAGAAAACAGACAGTTTAACTCTATCTTGATGGGAAGAATAATAGTGGACATAGGAACAGTTATTTGTAGGTTTTTCTGTAGATTTTAAATTTAATTCATTATTATTATTATTATTATTATTATTATTATTATATATATATATATATATATATATATATATATATATATATATATATTATATATATATATATATATATATAATATATATATATATATATATATATGCAATAAGATCACAGTAAACAGGTGATTTCAGAATATGCAAAACAACCACTGTGAAAGAATAGAGAAGTTCCAAGCGATTTCGTGACTATTCACATTATCAAGGAACAAATGAAAGTAAAGCATCAATGGAAGGTATATAATATATATATATATATATATATATATATATATATATATATATATATATATATATATATGCAAAACAACCACTCTGAAAGAATAGAGAAATTCCAAGCGCTTTCGTGACTACTCACATTATCAAGGAACTATGATAATGTGAGTAGTCACGAAAGCGCTTGGAATTTCTCTATTCTTTCAGAGTGGTTGTTTTGCATATTTTGAAATCACCTGTTTACTGTGATCTTATTGCATATATATATATATATATATATATATTTATATATATATATATATATATATATATATATATATATATATATATATATATATATATATATATATATATATATGTATATATATATATATATATATATATATATATAATATATATATATATATATATATATAATATATATATATATATATATATATATATAGTATATTGCAAACAGGCGAAATTATTTACAAACATTATCTCTCACTCCACATGCAGCGTTCGAGCCTACACACTCTGCATCAAAGTACGTTGTAAAATTCTCCATTCGGTCCAGATCTGGCGAGAAGAAGGTACTGTGTACCTTGGTGCAAAGTGTGTAGGTCCGAATTCTGCTGTAGAGTGAGAGATAATATGTGTGTGTGTGTGTGTGTGTGTGTGTGTGTGTGTGTGTGTGTGTGTGTGTGTGTGTAATGAACTGAGTTATTTTTCCATTAATTAAAAATGACTTTCATGTTAGTTTTTCAGACTCTTGAAGTGAATGTGGGCATGACAACAGTGGCAGGAAGTTCGTGTTGCTCACCAGAGGACGTAACGAGGCCTACTGACTGGTGCTCTGAGAGTGTGATGGCACTCTCTGTTCCCAGCCTCTCCTGACACAGTCACAGAGAGACGCAGGTGCCACTGCCCACTCGTACATCAACCCCAGTGTGTTCCGACACCCTCAGACACCCCTAGCTTTATTTCCTGACACCCTGAGAGAGAGAGCATCCATGAGTGCTACCAACTCTTACATGACCCCTGCTGTCTCTTGACACCGTCAGGTGTGACCTTCCACACTTACACTGCCCACAGTGCGATCTGACACCATGAGAGAGAATTCCAAAGAAAATCTTACATACATGCACTTCCCAAAGTGTACTCTGACACCATAATAGGCTCCTAAACGCTACCCTGAGCCTGTCTTTACACATGCGAGGAACACGAAGGGCGGAGCAACACACACACACACACCGTGGGAGGGGCAGAGAGTACAAACACCTGGTGTGTGAGTGTGTGGCCACCTAGAGTACAACATTGTAATTACAATATGTTCTCACCGCTCAAGAGGTGTGTGTGTGTGTGTGTGTGTGTGTGTGTGTGTGTGTGTGTGTGTGTGTGTGTGGTGTGTGTGTGTGTGTGTGTGTGTGTGTGTGTGTTTGTGTACATATGTACTCATCTATTTGTGAGTGCAGGAAGTGAGTCATAATTCCTGGCCCCGATGTGTGTTTGTGTTTACGTGCACGTGTGTGTATACTCATCAAGTTGTTTTTGTTGGGGTCAAACTCAGCTCCTGGCCCCATATTCTAGACTAATAAGCATGAATAATTTCTGCGTCTCTTGCATTTATCATGTCTGCTCTTGAAGCTGTGTATTGACTTAGCCTCCATGACTGCCTCTCATCCAAGTCATTCCACTTTTCAACCACTCTGACACTAAAGAAATACTTCCTAACATCCCTAAAGCTCATCTGTATTTTCAGATTCCACCTGAGTCGCCTTAATCCACGTAGTCTTCGCCCAAACAATATGTCCCTCTTCCCTAAGAATTCCTCTTAAAATTTTGTACGTAGTAACCATGTCCCACCACGTCCTTCTCTCCTCCAAGGTCGTCAAGTTTAGTTCCTTCTATCGCTCCTCATAGGGTATTCCTCTCAGTTCTGGTGCTAGTTTGGTTGTGAGTCTTTGGACTTTCTCAAGTACCCTCCCGTGATTGATCAGGTGTGGGGCGTCATGTCTGGACTAACATATGTGATATGTTAGCTTCTCAAAGATTATTTACTCAAGTTTCTTAATGTTGCACTGATGTTTGCTAATCTTGCATATACCGCTGCATTTATACGGTTAATATGTGCTTCGGATATATGCTATGTGTTATGCTCACCTCTCGGTCATATTTTATTCAGTGAAATTTCAAACTTTACAATGCCGTTCCTGTACTCCGTATCCGGTCTTCCCTCTCCTCCAATTCGCATGACTTTGCCTTTGTTCGTTTCGAACTTCAGCAGCCACTTATTTGACAAGAGAGAGGACATTTCATAACTCATTAGTTATTCATGGTCAGGAAACAATGACACACAGGGCCAAGTCCTTTCTGGTAGGTCATTCACGTATATTAGTAAGACTAGTGGTCCTCACACTGATCCTTGGGGAACCCCACTCGATACTCTCTCCCATTCTGATGCTACATTACTTACTAACACCGTCTGCCTTCTGCAATTCAGGTGCTCCCTGGCCTCCCTGGAGAGAGGTCAGGGAGCACCTGAATATATATATACGTGTATATATACATATATATACATATATATATATATATATATATATATATATATATATATATATATATATATATATATATATGCAATAAGATCACAGTAAACAGGTGATTTTAAAATAAGCAAAACAACCACTGTGAAAGAGTAGTGAAATTCCAAGCGCTTTCGTGACTACTCACATTGTCAAGGAACTATGAAAGTAATACATCAAAGGAAGGCAATTAAAGGGCTTAGACTACACCTCACAGTCAACTCCCACAACAAAGAAACACCTGACGCGCGACAATACCGGACTCATAAGAAAAGAGGAACACTGCAGTAGGTCCGCTGGTCCAACTAGACAGGTCCTCACGACAACCCACTAACAAAATATTCTACCCAAGAAATAAGGTTTATTATTTGTCCAATGTATTATTAAACTCTTCCCAAATTCTATTAATTATAAATGAATCTAATTTATATAAACCAAAGGAAATATTCATATTATTATCAAAACTGCTTTTTATGAAACAAGATTCAATTATATTCCTGTCAACCATGGACTTGCTTGATACTACTTTCTCAACTTTTTGAAAATCAATTGGATGGTTAAAATCTCTCACATGAATAAATAGAGCATTGGAATCTTGTCCAGTTCTAATGCTATATTTATGTTGTTTTAATCTAAGTTCGAGACTTTTACCAGTTTGACCTTAATAAACTTTATCGCAAATTTTACAAGGAATCTAATAGACACATCCGTCAGCATTTCACAGCAGTGGTTGTTTTGCATATATATATATATATATATATATATATATATATATATATATATATATATATATATATATATATATATATATATATATATATACATATATATATATATATATATATATATATATATATATATATATTATATATATATATATATATATATATATATATATATATATATAATATATATATATATATATATATATATATATATATATATATATATATATATATATATATATATATATATATATATATATATATATATATATATATATATATATATAATATATATATATATATATATATATATATATATATATATATATATATATATATATATATATATATATATATATATATATATTATATATATATGATATCCTGGCCACTGACAGCTGGCTGGTGCCTCAATATCACTCGAAAAATGTGGGATTTTCAATCAGAGGAAATTAAATGAGTGAGCGTTCTGACCTTCCCTGATGATGTCACTACACCTGCCTGGTTGATGTCATTACACCTGTCTGGTTGATGCCATTACACCTGTCTGGTTGATGTCACTACACTTGTCTGGTTGATGTCACTACACCTGTCTGGTTGATGCCACTACACCTGTCTGGCTGATGTCAATACACCTGTCTAGTTAATGTAACTACACTTGTCTGGCTGATGTCACTGCATCTATCTAGCTGTCACTACACCTGTCCAGTTGATGTCATTACACCTGTCTGGCTGATGTCACTACATCTCTCCAGTTGATTTCACTACGCCTGTCTGGTTGATGTCACTACACCTGTTTACACAATGTTTTACACACACACACACACACACACACACACACACACACACACACACACACACACACACGAACGAATGAATCGTTCAAAACTCTGTACACGGTGTACGTCAGGCCCATATTTGAGTATGCAGCTCCAGTTTGGAACCCACACCTGGTCAAGCACGTCACGAAATTAGAGAAAGTGCAAATGTTGACAACAAGAATAGTCCCGGAGCTAAGGGGAATGTCCTACGAAGAAAGGTTAAGGAAAATCGGCCTGACTAAACTGGAGGACAGGAGGGTCAGGGAAGACATGATAACGACATATTTAACATTGCAAGGAATTGACAAGGTGGACAGAGACAAGATGTTCCAGAGATGTGACACAGAAACAATGGGTCACAATTGAAAGTTCAAGACTCAGATGAATCAAAAGAATGTTAGGAAGTATTTCTTTAGTCATAGAGTTGTCATGAAGTGGGATAGTCTGGAAAGTGAAGTAGTGGAGGCAGGATCCATACATAGTTTTAAGACGAGGTATGATAAAGCTCATGAAGCAGTGAGAGTGACCTTGTAGCGACTAGGAAAGAAACGGAGCCAAGAGCTATGAATCGACCCCTGCAACCACAATTAGGTGTGTACACACACACAAGAAACGATCGAGAAGTATGTGAGGAGCTCAACATGAGAATAAAAGAAGTATTCACAAACGAAACAGAAAGGACTCCAGAAAGACGGAGTGGTAGGGTACACCATCAAGTGCTGGACACAGTACATACAACCGAGGCTACTAAGCGAACTAGATACTTCAAAGGCATTGGGACAAGACAACATCTCTCCATTGGTCCTGAGAGAGGGAGCAGAGACGCTGTGCGTACCACTAACAACAATCTTCAACACATTTTTTTAAACAGAGCAACTACCTGAGGTATGGAAGACAGCAAAATGTAGTTCCAATTTTTTAAAAAAGAGACAGATTCAGCATTAATCTACAAATCAGTATCACTGACATGTATAGTATGCAAAGGCATGGAGACGATTATCAGGAGAAGAGTGGTAGAGCACCAAGAAAGGAATGAGGTTATCAAAGACAACCAGCATGAATTCAAGGACGGGAAATCCTGTGTCACAAACCTACTGGAGTTCTATGACAAGGTGATGCCAGTAAGACAAGAGAGAGAGACAGAGAGAGAGAGAGAGAGAGAGAGAGAGAGAGAGAGAGAGAGAGAGAGAGAAGAGAGAGAGAGAGAGAGAGAGAGAGAGAGAGAGAGAGAGAGAGAGAGAGAGAGAGAGAGAGAGAGAGAGAGAGAGGGTAGAACGCGTTTTCTTGGACCGTAAGAAGGCTTTTGACACAGTGCCACACAAGAGATTAGAGCAAAAGCTGGAGGACCAGACAGGTATAACAGCAAAGACATGGGAATGGATCAGAAAATACTTGGCTGGAAGGCATCATCGAGTCATTGTACGTGACGAGGTGTCAGAGTGGGCGCCTATTAGGAGCGGGGCTCCACAGGGGTCAGTCCAATGACCGGTGCTGTTTCTGGTGTGTGTGAATGACATGACGGAAGGAATAGACTCAGAAGTGTCCCTCTTTGCTAACGATGTGAGGTTAATGAGAATTCAATCGGAGGCAGGACTACAAAGGGATCTGGACAAGCTGCAGGCCTGGTAAAGAAACTGGCTCCTGGAGTTCAACCCTACTAAGAGCAAAGTCAAGAAGATTGGGGAAGAGCAAAGAAGACCTCAGACAGACTACAGTCTAGGGGGCCAAAAACTACAAACTTCACTTAAGGAAAAGGTTCTTGTGGTGAATATAATACCGAGAACATCTCCTTAGGCGCACATCAACCAGATAACTGCTGTAGCATATGGGAGCCTGGCAAAACTTAAGGATGGCATTCCGACATCTCAGTACGGAATCGTTCAGGACCCTGTACACCGTGTAAGTCAGGCCCATATTGGAATATGCAGCACCTGTTTGGAACCAGCACCTTACCAAGCACGTCACGAAATTAGAGAAAGTGCAAAGGATTACAGAGAGACTTCCCGGAGCTATGGAGCAAGTCCTACGAGGAGGAGTTAAGGGAAATCGACCTGACGACACTGGATGGGTAGAAGGGACATGATAAAGATAGGATGAGTAGATAGGATGAGCAGAAGGGACATGATAAAGATATTTAAAATACTGAGGGGAATCGACTAGGTGGACAGAGACAGAATGTTCCAGAGATGGGACACAACAACAAGGG